AGTAAACTGCAACCTTGTGTGGACAGAGTTAAAGGTGTCCAGAATAGTGCTGAACATAGAGGAGGGAGCCGCCAACACAATATCGTCGACGTATCTAAAATAAAAAGGAAGGTCCACTGTCAGAGTCGCGATGGCCCTCGATTCCAAGTCCTGGAGCGTGATTTCGGCGATGATCGGTGAAAGAGGTGAACCCATGGGCGTGCCAAAAGTTTGCTGATAACACACCCCATTAAACATGAAAAATGTGGAGTTCAAAACAAAACGAACTGCGTTTGCGAACGAAACGTTTGATGTTAATAAAGAAGATTGATTGTCTGATTTGAGATCATGTGTATGGATCAATTCCTTCAAACAATACGCCGTATAACTGCGTTGGCTCTTATGGCTTATTATTATTGCTCAGTTTAATTTGTTAATTTTGAGAGCCTTAATCTGTGTTCATTTTTAATTAAATATATATAATATATTATATATATATATATATTAAATATATTAATATTATATATATATATATATATATATATATATATATATACACATAATAGATAATATTTAATATAACGTTTATAATAATTATTGGCTATTTACACTACGAGTAATACTTAATACCGATATAATCTGTTTTAGACAAGCAACTTAACAGAATTAGCAGAAAATTTCACATGTATGCAGCTATATACATCAAATATTGTAAGCAAAATACAAATGCGTTTTTTCGAAATCAAAAGTCAACAGAATTACTTTCAAAATTTTGTCAAATATCAACAATAACAGTTTAATAGAAGTAACAATTGTGACGCAAATGCATCTATATATCTTTTTGACAAATAGCTTTTTATAATGTTTATAGTTTTTATTTATTATTTATGCTTATGTACGTTAACAATATATAATTAAATACACGTGCATTTACATGGATTCATTTTGATCTGCAATTCATTGATGTTTTTATTTCCTTATTAACATGAAGTAAAGGAAAATGTAAATTATATTCATAATATATAAATAATTATAATTAAATTATGTTATATTATAATTAAATATATAATTAAATATCGCCCCAATATTTTTCTTGTCTACATCTCTTCAGGGGGGTAAAGAGGGTTTATAGAATTCTCAAAAACGAGAATCTATATCTTGGTAAATGCACCAAGTGAAACATATGCATATGTCTCGTGCTCGTTTAAATTATCGCGAACAATTGAAATTTACGCATTATCATCCACGGTGGCTCTTATTCGCTACTTTCTTGTCGTGTTGTTTTATATTAGATTTCTTTTTGTTAAATCTCGTAGACTTTTGCCATGGTGAAAAGAATGGACATATTCTCAAGGTTTAAAAGTATTGTACTATTCTCTTAGCAATGAATATTCTCCTTGGTGGGGAGTATATCGTCTGGGAAAAGAAAAATTTAAACCTAAACTTTTAAAATTTCTCTCTTGCCCTGGGAGTTCATAATTTATCAAAGCCTATTTAAATCTAATAAAAAAGGATCATACAACATCGATTATGTTTTCGTAAGATTTTTTCCGATAAAGATTATATTAATTATTTTTTTTTTTACTATCGCGAAGGAATCCTATAGTACTAATCCAATTAACAAGCACACGTCATTTTGACGTTTCAAATTAGTCATTCACTATTCTTGACGTCACGAATTGACGTTTTTGTGACGTAAAAGTGACGATCTAATGTCACAGATTCTTGATGTCATAATATGTACCGCATTTTGACGTCATAAAATGTACCATATTTTGACGTCTTTTTCTTAGCATAATAATATATTTAATAGTATTATTGAATAAAGCACTGTCTAAAAGTAAATCAGTGTATTATCACTGAAAGCAATAAATAGTCATTAACCTTTAGAGGGCCGGAAAACCACTATTGTGGCGCACCAGAATAACTTGTTCAATTCAGGCTTGAGATGCACTTATTTTTTTTACTTGTGTTGATACAACATTTTTCACTCAAAAAAAAAAAGATCTTGCAACTATAGCAAAAATTTTCTAGGTGCGAAAAATTAACTGAGGCAGATAAACGATTAGCAAATATTGTAATATCGTATATATGTTGCACGTAATCAATCTAAATGACAGAGACAAAATTTATATCTGAACTGTTTGTGAAATTTAGAAAGAAAGTCTTTCTGTGACGTCTATCCATGTTATGATCAGAAGAGGGTGTTTCGAAATCATACGTGATGAAAGGGGTAGTTTTTGTAATTTTATAGGGGTTGTTTTCAGGTTTATTGTATTTTTGACATCAGATTTGGATTCTACGTCGAAAAATACATCGGAAACGCATATTTATACTTCCAAATTGATGTGAAAGAAATTTTATATGCGGGTCGATCCCTTCCGGACCGGAAAGCCACTATAGTGGCGCTACGCATTATCGACACTTAGTGAATGGTCAATCCATGATATAAGATACCTTTTTTACCATTTTACTAAGGTGGATATGCCTCTCAAATCCCGGCCCTCTAAAGGTTAATTATAGCAGTTATAAGTACAGCACTATAAATCAGTGACATTTTATTGAAAGAATCAGTTAATAATTTTGACTATTTCAATCAGTAATATCTCAGTAATATTTCTTTCGTTATTGCTAGTAATATTAAACTACAATTCATCTCTCTATCTATTTAATATTAATATTATTAATAATTAAGAAATATCATGAATACATTCTTATGCAAATTACATGAAAAATTATCCAAAGTATACGTATAATGATTATATAATAGTAATTCATTAAATTTACATATTTAATTCTATAGTATATATTTTTGAAATATTCATAAAAAAGTAACTGTTTGTATTTTCATATCAAAGAGTCATCAATAAATTCGAAATTTATAAATTCTATATCGCGCGGAACTGAATATTCATGAAATAAATTATGATTACGAAAATACCGTTTTTCCACGTTCTTTTCGTGTTCGATTAAACGAGATTGCCGTGTTAATAAAGAATCTTATTGTCGTAATTTTATTATATTGATTTATTATAAGAAATATTTTTTATTCTTTAACGTCAAATGAAATCATTTCCTTCAGAAATTGAAAATTTGATAAGACACAAGATATATGATATTTACAAATGGTTTCTGAATCAAAATAAAATAATATGGATAATTAGATTTTACTTGCGATAAAATAGCATTATTTATTAATTTAAAATAAGAGATAAAATGTCCAGCATTAATTATATCATAAAGTTTATATCATAAAGTAATGTTTAAAGTATTAAATATTTCAAGACAATAATCTAAATTAACTATAACGTTATTTGGCCTTTACAGCCTTTGCGATATGTTACTGTTATCATAGGCGCTTAGCATGTTGTCATTCACCCGGCGACACTTGAGCAAGAAGGTAATGAGATGTAAAACATTCTATAGATTGTCGAATTCTTTTTCGAAATACGATCACGATATCGAGAAATAATTTGCTATAATTATCATGATTAATAATTAATTAACTTTAAGAATAATATGATTTTAACACTATTGTGAAGATAGATTTCGAACGCGTATGTTAAATAATTTAATGATTCGTTTAATCAAGTCAAAGAATAAAATATATATATATGTGTGTGTGTATACACCGTGGCCCATTTTAATCGACGCACCTGAATATCTCCGTTGGTAAGCCGAATACAAAAAAATTGTTCAGACAAAAGTTGTATGGTTTCAAGGGCGACATAAGATGGTGTCATTAGTTTGATCTTGAAGAGCCACCTGAAGGTCACGTGAAGGTCAACTCCAACTTTTTAAATGGGACACCCTATATGCTTTCACATATTCTTGTAGCTCATCTGAAGAGCTTTCCAAAACACTATAATTAAGTTAGTTTTCATTAAATACTTTCCAAGTTATGAGGCTTGAAATCATTTTTTAATTTTACATAAACCGTAAAATATCTTGTAAAATATTCATTTTTCGATTATTTTACCTTAATACTTTTATGTACAAAATAATGAGAAGAATCAATTGGTGTAAAGAAAACACATAATTGTTTCGAACAAAAGTATGTAATTGTTAATTGCAAGTTATTTAAATGATTAGCTTCAAATTAATCAATTTGACGCGTGTACATCAAGTGGCTCCATATTATATGTATCGTATGGTGGACTTCCATAAAGACTATTATAATGATATAATATTAAAACAAAGGAATTATATATATATATATATATATATATATATAATTATTTGTAATAATTGTATTATGTAACATATAGCCCAATTTTTGCATATATCGGTCTGTGATGAACAGAAAAAAAAATAGAAAATATTGCGTGTAGACACAATATTGATTATTAAATATTTTGACAATTAATGGAACGGTTATAACAATGTCTATATGTATGTCTATAATGACTGTTCGTTTCTAACTTCTTATATTCGATAACGTAATGTAAGGAGAAAGAATCCAATATGTATTTAATTTATTGTACTTGTATATAAATATACTCCTTGTTATATCTGCCACAAATGACTAATTATTATCATGAACAATTAGAGATATATAAGTGACTGCTCTGAATTTGTTGGTGCTTTTTACCTAGTATCTAATGTCTATATGTATATATCTATATGTATCTAATTATATTAGCGATGGGTTTCATATTATCTTTCATTATCTATTATTAATATTAAAATAAATACTTTGGAAAATAAGCAAGTGTAATTTAGTTTTCGGAATTTCTTATACTTTTTTCGGAGATTGCATTACGTTCAAATTATCCCGTTATAAGAATGATTAAAAAAAATTAATGATTTTAAGATTAAATCTCAAGTTATAAATAAAATAAAGTTTCTTGCTTTTATATATCTTTATAATAAAAGTTATATAATTTATTATTATTATTTCTTTTTAAATTATTACATCTTTACAAAAACTTGCACAATTTTAATAAATCAAAGAAAAAAATAAATTATTTGTTATTAGCAATAATTAAATTTTATTATATTGATTTATTAAAAGAAATATTTTTTATTCTCTAACGTCAAATAAAATCATTTTTTTCTTGAAATTGAAAATTTGATAAGACACAAGATATACGATATTTACAAATGGTTTCTGAATCAAAATAAAATAATATGGATAATATTAGATTTTACTTGCGATAAAATAGCATTATTTATTAATTTAAAATAAGAGATAAAATGTTCAGCATTAATTATATCATAAAGTTTATATCATAAAGTAATGTATAAAGTATTAAATATTTCAAGACAATAGTTTAAATTAACTATAACTATATAAATATGACAATGAATATAGAAAAATATTTATTTCATCTTTGAATATTACAGTATCTTTCGCGATTGAATAATTTATTTATTATCAATTTATATACATAAGTATCTTGTTATACAGCACTGGCGCTACCGGCATTTCGTGCACATGAACAAAATCAGAAATTGTGCACATTATATATTACCCTCTGAGAACATTCATGGACATTGGCTTAGTTCATGTCCACGTTTTCAATGTCCATAGAGGGAGTATCGCTTTCACAGATCACCTAAAAGGACCCTGCTATAGATTATGTATAGGTTATTTTTCATAAAAACTTAAAGCATGTTTTACATAAATACAAAAGTTTGTTGAAAATAGTTGAATTTAAAAAAAATTTTTTTCCACATATTTGACAAGTCGCTTCTTATACATTAATGGAATATATCTAGCATTTGAAGATTGATTTAAAAAATTTTTCTTTCAGTCCAATTATGGGAACGGACCGAGATGAAATATTTTTACACATACTTCGCGAAGAAAAGAATATTAATAATTTTTTGGATGCCTTTTTTGGATTTTTATACAGATGGTAAGGATGCTATTAAAAGCATTAATATCTTTTATCCTATATTTTTAAACGTTCCAAATTGTCCTCAAATCTCTTTCATAAAATTTTATGAAAATATTATAATTATAATTATAAATATATTATAATTATAATTATATTATAATTTCTTTTTGTACAATAATATTTTATAATAGTACAGATTTTTACGTCGAATCAAATTCGGAGCAAAAATTGGGCTTCCCATCTGGAGTAGCAGAGAAACTTGTGTTAAGTAGCATGTACAAATGGAAAAATATTGCATCAACTTTACAAAAGACAATATCATCTGTAGAGGATAGCACACTCAATAATAGCAGTAGCGTATCACATTCAAATCAATTGACTTTGACAGACAATAAAAATTGCAGTCTTACTCCACCAGTTGTGCAAGAAATTGAGATTGACTCATGCACTGAATCTACGGATGTTAATCTACCTCTTGCAGAATCACTCAAGATAGATCATGTATCAGATAGTTATAATGGAGCTATAAGAGACAATTATGTATGGACACAGACACTCAATGATTTGGATGTACTGGTAAAAATACCAGAACATATTAAAACATCCAAAGATACGATCAAAGTCAATATAAGTTCAGACGAAATCAAAATCGATGTCAAGCCTTTAAATTCTTTAGCAAATTGTGAATGGGATAACATTTTTGATGGCAAGCTTAGTTTTAAGATTCGAAAAGATGAATCTATATGGAGTATTGAACCTGGAAAACACATAAATGTACATCCATTATGCATAAAATTTAGCTTTCTGAAACATTGATTTCGTATTTAATTTGTGTTTTATTCATATATTTATCTGTGCTAATTCAGATTCATCTTGAGAAAGCTACTGAAAGATGGTGGGAAGCCTTAATAATCGATGAACCGAAAATCGACTTAAGCAAAATTGATTGTTCGAAACATTTCGATGATATGATGCCAGAGGAACAGATGAAAGTACAGAAATTAATGTGGAATCAACAACAAAAACTTTTAGGCAAATCCACATCTGAACAAATTGTAACTATCCATGTCTTATTTAATTATAAAAAAATGATTATTTTAACAATTTATAATTGCACTTATAGAAGATGGAGGCTATTTTGAAGCAGGCATGGAATGCAAAAGGATCACCTTTTCAGGGTACACCTTACGATCCTACAATTTTAAAATAAAATTTTAAAATTAATGTATCTGAGAACGTAATTAGTTTTTTACTTAATTACGATTTTCATCAACGTTAGATATATTAAAAAAATCAAATTGTAATTTATTAAAAATTGTAATTTATTATAAATATTTTATAAAATAATAATTATAAATAATTTTATAAATTTATACATATGTTGTAATAATTGTAATAATTTTAATGTAATAATTTTATTCTTTTATAGAAATTTTTATACTTTGATATTTTTTATTTAAAAATGAAAGAAAAAGGTATATTATAAAAATTTTATAAAAAACATGCAAAATATTTTTAAAATTTTTTTATAAAATTTATTTTTTATAAAATTATTTCAATTATTTATATCTTGTACATTTTAAAAAGACATTTTATACATTAAAATATAATATTGAAATAATTAAAAATAAATCCTCCAAGGATTTTCAAAAATTAAATTACAATTTCTATCAAATTATTTATAAACTAAGTTATATACTATAATATATAATAAAGTTTTGTCTATAATGATTATAATTTGAGAGAAGTCTGATTAAACTTGAATTTATTTTCTAAGAATTCAATTGTGCCAAGATTTTTCCATGATACGATTTCAAATATTTTTAAAACGGAGACTATAAAACAATTTTCACCTCAAATGTATCTTTCATATTTATATTTGATAAATAGAAAATATATACTCATTTTCTGCGCATTATAATAATTCATGGTAATATATACTTCTCTACGTCGGATATCGCGATATTCTTTTTTAGGAAATACAAAGCGTCTACGAAAGCAAAAAGCGACGCTTCCGCGAGCAAAAGAACTCTGCGGCGACACCCTGTGAAATCATGAGCGATCCAAGAGTTCACAGAATGCGAGGAATCCTACGCTTTTCCCCGACGTTTACGCTGACTTTATCTCACGCTGGTGGTGGGATCGCTAGGGACGAGGTAGGAGCGAGTAGACGGCAGGTACACAGCCTCGAAGAAACTGTTCTCATTTCGTAGAACGACTTTCCTAAGCTTTTACTTTGTCCAAACGGGTTTTCATAGATATACAGGCGACAACAAATGTCGCGCACATATAATGTATTCACATGAAATTCGCATACCCTAGTCTTGTCCTGTATCATACATTACTAGAAAAAAAAAGAAATCCAACAAAGTTTCTATAAATCGAGTCAATATTGTACAACTCGGGTTTTTGATGCAGAAAAAAAGTAAATAAAATTTATGGAAAGAGAAATAATTTATGATCTTCAATTCTGACTCAAGGAATTTTTATTTTATTTTATTTTTATTTTTATTTGTATTATACTTTTATTTTATTTTATATCAATATACGAATAAAGGATCGTTTAATCAGGAATAAATCTCGTTTCAGCTGTTGAATAATAACACTTGCAACGACTGTGACGGTCGGAAGTCTGAGGAATTCCTGCGAAAGGATAGCGGATCTTTTTTCCGAATGAAGAGATCTTCCCCGAGCTTCTTGATGCCAGGTGCGGCAGGTCGCGCGCGTTGAGCACCGCTGCGGGTAAAACACAGGTAATATACCTGCCCGAGGCTACGAGTCCGTCCCCACCTGGGGTCCGGTTCTCTCTCCTCGCTCTCTCGGCTGGCTCTCGGCTCTGGCTTTCCTTCGAGGCCAGTCGAGCCGTTAGTGTCGTTGCCGTTGCCAGAAGAACGGTGCTGTGATGTGCATCGTGGTGGAGCACGCATCCTGAAGGACGTACTCGTCGACCATCCACCGAGATTCCGGGGTTCGCTGGAACCTCCGAACTCCGCAGTCCCTTCCTCCTCCTCGAATCGCGGTGATCACCCTTCGGTCCTCGCGTTCTCCAAAGCCCGCTCTCGCGGTCCAGCTCTCCTCCTCTCCGTTTCTCACCTATAAAAACACACCGCGCGGTAACACGCTTCGCGTGGCAACTCTTCCTTCCCCGGAAGGTGCGCGGATGCCCAAGTAAACGGTAGTAAGTAAGCACGTAAGTTGCGCGGTGAGTTGTGAGGTGAAGCTAACGGAAGACGATCGAGGAGGAAGAGGGCTCCAAGAGGAGAGACATCAGAGATAAAGCAGCCGAGATGCCGTGCTCCGCGGTGACGCTGTCCCTCGCCACCATAACCGGTATCATCGCCACTGCCCTTCTGGCGATCGCCTTTTCCACGGACAACTGGCTCTACACCGAGGTCAAGCGCGCCCAGATCCAGGTTTGTAGCGATGTCTCGTATCTGAAACAAGTACAGCGTGCTAAGAATGCGACGAGACAATCATTCATGCGGTATACAAATGATGCGGAGCAGATTCCTCTGTTATTATTTATGGAGGAAGATACTTTTTTAAAAAATGATAAAGATGCTTCATATGTTTATTTACATACTAGATGTTCTCGTATATATATTAATTAAGCCCAAGACTGGTTCTTTATATTTTTCTCATATTTTCGTTAGAAAAAGATCGAATAAGATCGAATAAAAATATCGATTAATTTTTGGATTGTTTCTAAAAATGATCCTAAAAAAGAGAAGCATTTTGGAAACATCTAAATAAAAGATATTTATTGCTTATCATAACAAATATTTTTAAAAAAATATAGTCATTAGTTTATTTACATACCAGATGTTCTCGTATATATATTAGTTAAGCCCAAGACTGGTCCCTTCTATTTTTCTCGTATTTTTCGTTAAAAAAAAATCGAATAAAATCGAATAAAAATATCGATTAATTTTTGGGTCGTTTCTAAAAATGATCCTAAAAAAGAGAAGTATTTTAAAAACATCTAAATGAAAAAGATATTTATTGCTTGTCATAACAAATATTTTTAAAAAAATATAGTTATTAGTTTATTTACATACCAGATGTTCTCGTATAAATATTAGTTAAGCCCAAGACTGGTTCCTTGTATTTTTCTCGTATTTTCGTTAGAAAAAGATCGAATAAGATCGAATAAAAATATCGATTAATTTTTGGATCGTTTCTAAAGAGGATCCTAAAAAAGAGAAGCATTTCAAAAACATCCAAATGAAAAAGATATTTATTGCTTGTCATAACAAATATTTTTAAAAAAATATAGTCATTAGTTTATTTACATACCAGATGTTCTCGTATAAATATTAGTTAAGCCCAAGACTGGTTCCTTGTATTTTTCTCGTATTTTCGTTAGAAAAAGATCGAATAAGATCGAATAAAAATATCGATTAATTTTTGGATCGTTTCTAAAGAGGATCCTAAAAAAGAGAAGCATTTTAAAAACATCTAAATGAAAAAGATATTTATTGCTTGTCATAACAAATATTTTTTACAAAATATAGTCATTAGTTTATTTACATACCAGATGTTCTCGTATATATATTAGTTAAGTCCAAGACTGGTCCCTTGTATTTTTTTCGTATATTTTCATTAGAAAAAGATCGAATAAAAATATCGATTAATTTTTGGATCGTTTCTAAAAATGATCCTAAAAAAGAGAAGCATTTTAAAAACATCTAAATGAAAAAGATATTTATTGTTTGTCATAACAAATATTTTTTAAAAAATATAGTCATTTTATAATAAAATTTGTCGAACTTTAAAAATACAAAAGAAAATATGGATGACACTAGTTTAATACATACGGCATGAAATTATACATATATATATGTTTTAGTCCCTATTTTTATTTTAAAAAGGCAAATTATTTTGTTCTTATTTTTTACTAAAGCACTTTTACGCTCATTTCTTCGTTCTATTATATAACTTTTCTGTTATCTTCATTCGAAACAAGCATATAGTCAAGGAAACACATTTGAAAAATTGTTAGAAAATATAGAGTATATTTTTGCGTTACCTGGAATTCTTAAAATTTCACAAAAATCCACGAAAAAATGATGTTTAATAAAAAATTCACGAAAAAATGATGTTTAATATAAAATTCTTGCACCTTGAAAAATTCTTCAATGGAATACGTGACTTTTTGGAATGTTCCGTGGGCATATCTTCTAGGATCTTTTCTGGGAAGAAATTACAATGGAAATTGTAATCTCTTGTATGCTCGTGTACAGCAGGGTTTCATATTGCATGTAAATGCACGTAGTTTGAGATGCGTCGAAAAAAATCTAAATGTATTGTGAAAGCGATGACGAAATTTCACGATGACGTTCCACATGCCTCGTCGTTGAACGTCATCGGCGTCGTTGTTGAAGCTAATTCGATTCAGCCGCGAACGTGCCCCCTATTCTGTACTCTCAGTTTATTCAAATTTCGATTAAACTCCTGGCCGCACCGCGACTGAAGGCTTCGATCATTTATGAAAATGGACACCTTCCTGTCCGAAGTTAGATCACATCCGGATCTCATTATTCCCGAAGACCGAAGCTGTCATCAACTAGCGTGCTCATGAATCTAATTTTTTTTCTACTTCCTGTGCAAAACATCGATCGTTAAAGATACGAGCACAAAATGCTGCAACTCGACATACGATGTGGCTATAGATTTTGAAATTTATACGCAAAGTTGGTTTTTTCTTGTCTTCCATTTTTATTAATAACATATTTTTACTCGTGTATAATAACGGTATAATTAAATTACATGATAATATTCTTAATCATTATAATTTCATCTGTGATCACAACGGATGTTTACAGTTATATAACGAGTTGTTGTTCTTATTATAGTAACTGCATATTATTATTATTACTATTATTATCAATCTTTTGAATAATGACAAATAATTCATTTAAACTGCAAAGCTATTTAAAATAAAGACGCGCGTCAAAATAAACGATTACTTAAGAGTATCTAATATAAGAATTAAATTCATATTTAAATGCGGATAATTTAAAAGTGGAATCTCATATTTTTTATTTATTTTTACGATAGAATACTACATTCCTAGAAATCAAGAATTTTAAGGAAAAGCGTATATTCAATAAATAAAATATATATCATCAGAAAAAATAATTTGCATATAGTTTTTAGAGATGCTAATAATTTACAGAAGAATTATGAGAAATTAAGAAAAAATTAATAAGATTTTAAATTCATAAAATTTCCATAAAATTAATAAAAAATTAATTCATAAGATTTTTAATTCATAAGATTTTTCGAGGTTCAAATGCACAATCAAAAATAAATATATATCAAAATATATATCATCAGAAAAATAATTTGCATTTAGTTTTCAGAGACGCTAATAATTTATAGAAGAATTATGAGAAATTAAGAAAAAATTAATAAGATTTTAAATTCATAAAATTTCTATAAAATTAATAAAAAATTAATCCATAAGATTTTTCTAGTTCAATTGCATAATCAAAAATAAATATATATCAAAATATATATCATTAGAAAAAATAATTTGCATTTAATTTTCAAAAATGTTAGTAATTTATAGAAGAATTAAGAGAAATTAAGAAAAAATTAACAAGACTTTAAATTCATTCAAAATTTTCATAAAATTAATAAAAAATTAATCCATAAGATTTTCCTAGTTAAAATGCACAATCAAAAATAAATATATATCAAAATATATATATATCATCAGAAAAAATAATTTGCATTTAGTTTTTAGAGGTGCTAGTAATTTATAGAAGAGTCATAAAAAATTAAGAAAAAATTAATAAGATTTTATATTCATAAAATTTCCATAAAATTAATAAAAAAATAATCTATAAGATTTTCCTAGTTAAAACGCATAATCAAATATTACGATTAATTAATCGCACGCGAATTAAAAATCAATTTATTATTAATTAGTTAGGCTAGCGAAAAGAAGTTTAATTGATGAAGAGATTGTGTAATCTATCTATTCTTAGTTTTAAGAAAAATGCATTCTTCCTTGAAAAGGGGAAGATAGGAAGTGGAATTCCTCCTTGTGACTTCCGCCGTCTTACCGTGGGTGAACGTGCGTGTCAAAGGTCAAGTTTACCCTTTAAGGTCATTGAAAGTCGAACGAATGTTGTTGTTATCGCAAACTTTTCGGAATCTATTCGAGAGAATGTCCTTGTGATATTTATGTGTGAAGAAGGAAGAAGATATACAATACTAAATCAATAAATATGAAACGTTCTATTCAAATTTTTATCCGAGTCTTTTTAATAAAAAGAGTTTTTTATTAATTTCATTGTAAGTCTCTGAATATTTAAGTTTATATTAAGAAGAGAATTACTTTGGAAAGAGACAATTTTTCTCTTTTTGAAATAAATATCAAGTTAACTGAGCACTTTAATAATTAATGCGATAAATGGACAGTTGAGTTTTAGTGATTGACAGATGAAAAGAATGGTAGTGGTAAAGTTTATTGTTGCACCATGTAATGTATGCAACCAACTTCGTATTTGTTTGAAGGCTGACTGTTTCTTTTGTATGCTAAGTAGGTTTTTTTTCTCGCAATAAATTCTTTTGAAATGAGAGCTTGGGAGACTTCAATGCTCGTACGTTTCGGATATTTAAAACTGCTAATTCATAGATTTTTTGAAATTCTATTTTTCTATAACAATTAGAGAGTAAATTTTCATTTATTTTTATTTTTCACAATGAAAAGAAATCACAATCAAACTAATGACTCTATTGACGAGTTATGTCATGACTTCGCAATTTAAAAACACAGGTACAGCTCACCGCATATAAAATATTCCGACATTGATGTAACTTCCTCTCTCTCTCTCTCTCTCTCTCTCTCTGCCTCCTCTTTTCACGCGAGGCAAATAATATATTTACAAACAATATGAAATGTATAGATATTATCACAGCATGCAAACATAATACTTGTTATCTAAGCATGTAGATGTAATTATTCTCAACACGATCCGTTAGCAGAAACTCTATCAATAATTTGACCATTAGCGATCAATTCGCGATGCAAGTGGGATATTTTATTTACTGCGAAGAAACGTGCATCATTTGTACATCTCGTTCGTGTTTGACATTACTACGAAGTCATTATTCCAAGCAGCTGAATCTGCCGCTGATTAAATCGGATTATCTCGTCGTTAGCGGAATCTCATTTCATTCGGGGAGGGTACATCTATCCCGTTCCTCTTTTCTCTTTCTCTTGATTATCGAGATCCTCTTCTCTCCTGTCTTCATTTCAAGTTTCTGTCTCGATCTCTCGCCATCTCCCGAACGATTCTCGTTCAGAAACGATCGACATTCCAAGCCGCGCCCATTCCCAGCACGTTGCTTCAACGAGTCTCTTGCGTTTAATGCTCGGTGCACTGATGCATACACTTTT